ATTTGATTAGTTATTGTTTTAAAATATTTCCTAACAACTTTTAACTTCTTAGGGACTTTTTTAGTTTGAGGATTTGTTTCAGTTATACTGATTTCAATGTTATAAGTTTCAAGGATTATATTCACTGATTAGAATTTTAATACATTTAAATATATACACCAAGGTCATTGGTCACTGGACCAGAAAATGGATTAAAAAATATATAACTAAAAGTATAAATCCATAAAATTCATGGGGCAATAATGAATTGAGTTGGAGGATGGTGGCTCATTAAAGTTCACTTGACAGAGAGATAATTGCAGACCAAAAGTTATGTCACTTATGATGAATGGAATAGAATAGAATAGAATAGAATAGAATAGAATAGAATAGAATAGAATAGAATACTTTATTGACCAAGTGTGATTGGGCACACAAAAAAATTTGTCTCCGGAGCAAAAGCGCTCAGTGTATATATGAACAACAAACCAATATGAGAAAATAGTTGAAAAGATGAGAAGGATAATAGTAATACAGCCACACCATGTGGGTAAATATCCTTAGACATAGGACAGTGATAATTAGGTGTTCAGCAGAGTGATGGCTTGAAGGAAAAAACTGTCTTTGTGTCTAGTTGTTTTGACATGCAATTCCCAATAGCGGCATCCTGAGGGGACAAATTGAAACAGTTTATGTCCAGGATGTGAGGGGTCTGTAGATATTTTTTCACTCTCTTTCTGACCTGTGCAGTATACAGGTTTTCAATGAAAGGCAGTCTGGTTGCAATTATTTTTTCTGCAGTCGTAACTATCAGTTGAAGTCTGTACATGTCCTGTTTGGTTGTTGTACCAAACCAGGCATTTAGAGAAGTACAAATGACAGACTCAATAACTCTGAGTGTAAAACTGTATCATCATTTTCTGAGGCAGTCTGAATTTTATACTTTGACGTTGGAGGAACATTCTTTATTGTGCTTTTTAAATGATGGTTCTAATGTTAGGTGCCTATTTCAAATCCTTGGAGATTATAGAACCCAGAAACTTGAATGTCTCTACTATTGATACTGTGTTCTCTAATATTGTAAGAACTGGTAGAATAGGAGGCTCCTCCTAAATTAAAATCCACTATCATTGCTACAGTTTTAAGTGTAAGGATTGGCAGGCACATTTGATTCATTCATACAATGAAATACATACTTACTGGATCAGACGCACCACTGTGTATGTCATTCTGGCTGGCTTCACACACTTATGAGAAATTTGTGACATGGTTCTTGGCTGTTTCTACTCATCCTTGATTTGACAAGGAAGAAAAAAGATACTTTCCTATTGCTCATTTCCCTTCCAGTCAATAATTTTTAGATATGCTGCTATAAAACCCTTGTCATCATTCTTCCCAGCCGCTGCTGCATATGGAAGCTTACACCATAACAGAATCATGAAATAAACCTTACTAAATCTCACATAAAGTCTTTACACTGATGCCACTGTCCCCTTTGAGGAAACAAATGCCCACAAAAGGGGGATTTTCTTAATCTTTTCATTTGTTTTTCTGTCTGATCCACTTTTTTCCTTTATCCACCAGCATTTGCGGACGGGGGCAGAATTTATCCGAAGGACTACTGGATCTTTCCCTATCCTGAATTGCTATTCCTCCGGTTGTTGCTGGAGTTGTGCAGTTATTGAATGACACAGACCTGCTGGGCTCAGAAATAAAAACACCATCCAAAGCCAGCAGGGGTGGAGCTGTGTGGCTCAGAGATATGGCCAGCAGAATGAAATTGATGGCTGGTTGCTATGGTGCTGAGACACCAGAATCATTCCTTATTAATGTCAATGAGGTCTTTCGTTGGAGTTGTTTTTAACTGAAAAGGCTAGCGAAAGCCAGAAAGAGAGTGGTAATTCTGCCACTGCATGAAGCAGAAGGAAGGCCAAGGGATTTTTAAGGCTTGCCCTTTGCTCTTGGAGATGGAAATGAAGAGGAAAGGTTTCATCCTAATCACTTTTTGTCCCGATTGCACAGCAACAACGGCAGGACTTAAAACACTTTCAAAATAAAATTACATTTTAATGCTTTTATCCCATTTATGTTCCTAGGCATCCAAAAGACCCATTCCACTGCTCAGGTGAGTCCTAATGAAAATTCCCCAAACAAATTTGATTGTCCATAGTCATTCCTACTGGTTACCTTAAGAGTACGGCATTTTTATTCACTATGCTAGAGTACAGTCAGATCTGCATAGGACAAATGTGAATGTCACCACAGTATGGATAACAGAGACCAGGCCATCTCTGTATAGGAGAGGCTGCAACTAGCAGAAATGGTTTCATATCAGAAATGCCAACTGAACATCTAAATTTAACATCTCAGTTGTGCTGAAAACTAGGTCCTTCATGGGAAAAGTGAAGTTATATACAGAACAACTGATACACTACTGTCTTTCAGCTTAGACAAACCCTCTTTTCTGTTTTGCCAATATTATCTTTCCTTTTCTTATGTGTTCATTACATAAAAGCATTTCCAGACAAAGTCACCCTTCTGGTTTTATTTCATTATCTGTAACAAATTGCAATCCTAGTTGGTCAAATTGCAATCCTAGTTGGTCAGTTCAAGAACTTTTGCATACTCTCACTTTCTACGCTATTTCTTTGATCTGTAGATAACGAATATCTTCCTCCCATGATTCACCCAATCGCGTCAGGAAAGGAAGTGAGAGTGTATCGATGCCTCACCTCAGATACCACACAGTTGAGTTGGAATATTTGTCCCTCTCCTTCAACTTGCCGTATGCAGAGTTTGCATACTAACTCCAGCGTGTTCAGGCTGAATCTTTCCAGGGTGAAGGTACAATGCAGATTTCTTTGACATCCACTCCAGATGTGGTAAAAGGGAATTTCCTGGAAAGAAATAATACTGATCATAAAAACGAATTTCTGATTTTTCACTTAGTCAAATCTATGTTGGACATAAATCTAAAGTGACTAGATTAGTGTAATAATTGATCAAATATAGTTAAGAGTAGAATGGAAGGAAATAAAAGAGTAATAATTCCATAACAAAATACATAAATAAGGTAAGCATATATTTAACATGGTGTTCTCCAGACAAACATACTCCAGAATTTTAACCATAGCCTGGGAATTCTGGGAACAAAAAATCCCCATTCTTTCAAATGGTATCTGAGATCCTAAAACAAGAAAAAGTTTCTAACTTAGATGTAATTTAATGTCAAATTACTGACTTTTATATAACTGATATTTATTAAACTCCCACCACTGCATTTTTATGTAAATTTCCAAAGATATTTTTTATCGTTATATAATATTTGCATTATAAAAAAGAGATTAATTCTTGGAATTAACAGCAATGAAACCAGGTAGGCAGGTAAATGGATTCTAGCTATGATATAGCTGTTTCATTTGTTGTTAAAATATGTATTATTTCATATACAATAGTTTTCCTTACTCTACACCAGGGGTCCTCAACCTTGGCAACTTTAAGACTTGTGGACTTCAACTCCCAGGATTCCTCAGTCAGCAAAGCTGGCTGAGCAATCCTGGGAGTTAAAGTCTACAAGTCTTAAAGTTGCCAAGGTTGAGGATCCCTGCTCTACACTATCAAATATTTCTCTATTGTTTCTGTAATCATTATATGAATTGTCAACTACAGATTTTATTTATTTTTATTCCGCCTTATTATTTTATAAATAATGCAAGGCAGCGAACATACATTATACTCCTACCTTCTTCTATTTTCTCCACAATAAGAAACCTGTGAGGTAGTTTGAGATAAGAGAGTGATTGGCCCAAAGTCACCAATCTGGCTTCCATGACTAAGGTGGGACTAGAACTCACAGTCTCCTGGTTTATAGGCCAGCATTCTAACCACTCACCATACTGACTCTCTCACTTAAAGGTAACATTCAAGATCTGTGGAAATGTGATGGTACACCTTTAAATAATTATTATCAGGACAAAATGTAAGAATAGCTCTGTTGAACTAGGCCAGGGGTAGGCAACCTTGGCTCTTTTGTGACTCGTGGACTTCAACTCCCAGAATTCCTGAGCCAGCTATGCTGGCTCAGGAATTCTGGGAGTTGAAGTCCACGAGTCACAAAAGAGCCAAGGTTGCCTACCCCTGAACTAGGCCAAAAGACATTTTGTTTCTCATTAGCCAACTGGACTTTGAGATACTTACAAGTAGGAATCTGAGTCTGAAGTACTCTCAAACAACAGATAACAGTGAGCCATTAAGAATAATAATACTTGGCAGATCTGTCTTCTATTGATTTTACTTATTTTTTTTTAAATAAAACTAGCTAAGTTAGTGGCTATCATCACATCTTGTGATAATGAATTCCGCAGGTTAATTATACATGGTTCAGTCATATAGTCTATTAGCCCACTGGTTCTTTTTCACATACAGCTCACAACCCCTTACAAGGTTAGTGATACTTCTGTCTCAATATGCATCAGTTTACACTTACTTAAATGAAACAGATATGCTATTAGGTTGACCCTTCATCCAGTTTAAAGGGATCCCATTGCTATCTGTTTGATATCTTTGGCAAATCTGGCCTGTTCACTGTGCATTCCTTATCAAGATCCTTTATGAGCATTTAAAAATACAAAGCCCCAATAAACATATCAAAAATGCAAAGTAGAATCATTTAACCAAACAACGTAGCAGCAGGTGTTAAACATTCTTTTATTCTTATCAAGTATTCAGCAATTTCAGAAATTCTATATTCCCATTTGACTTTGAAATACTGAATGATGCTTAATATTGCAAGACGGCTGATGAATTCTTCTAGAATTTGGCAATTCTTACCTGGTATTTTGCTAGTAGTTTACTCTTCCATAGGGAATGAGTAATATCATGAATAGATAAACGAAGATTATGAGTGCTACCCTTAAAATGTAAAGCCTTTGGGTCCTCCAATAATTGTCCACCCATTTGCCTCTCCAACTGCAGCACTTCCTGAGTGTTGGAAGAAATACAAAGTGCATTTAGCATGGGACTAAAAGAGTCATTGATAACATGTGAATTAAAACAAAGTTGTGCACCCTGCTCTGTTCTGTGAAGTCAAGATCATTATAAATTCATTCATTCATTCATTCATTCATTCATTCATTCATTCATTCATTCATTTAATTTTTATAGCACCCCACTTAACCAAGTGACTCTGGATGGCTTACAATTCTAAAACAACTTAAAACATATAAACAATAACATATAAAACAATAAAAATACTCACAAAATAAATTAGTTCAAATAGCAGCTGGGATGATTAATCAACCAATAGTAAAACCAAGTAACAGGGTCCTTAAACACATTTGGCATTCCAGGCCCAGGTACATAGACAACGTTTTAAAGCTTTGCGAAAAGCCAACAGGGTTGGAGTCATTCTAATCTCTGAGGGGAGATACAGCAGAAAAAGCCCACCAGCTGTATCTCTGAAATATCTGCCAGAAAGACTCACCAATTGTATCTCTGAAACAATGTTATTAGCTACTAAGTTTTATAGGTGAAAGGAGATTTGAACCCAGATCTCATTGTTCTAAGTTTGGTTATCTGAGGTGTATACTGAAGCATTATATACTCATAATTGACTCATAAATAGACTATGAACTGAGTAGCCCAAGAAAAAACATTTTGCACCAGGAAAGACTGATTGCTTTAGATAGGCTTTAAAAGGATGACACCTATTATACCTCAGCTGGCTGAAGAATTCTGGGAGTTGTAGTCCACAAGTCATAAAAGGGCCAAGTTTGAAGACCCCTGTGTTATACAAACCAGTTATAGGACACAGCCAGAATCTGGTCAACATGGTAAGATAAGGACTATATATGGTCCTATTCTGATTCAAACAGGAAATTACTTGATAGGATGAGTTGTACTATATATTACAATGATTTTGCAAATTGATCCCCCAAATCAAAATTAATGTAATTTCTATTTGAATGTTCATTAGGCCAAGAGGGGTCTTTTTCTGTACAAGGTTGAACTTCTTACATTGCCAGTAACAATCCAAATCAGAGGAAGACTCCCTTCTTTCCTACTAAAATCATAATTAGAGAAGCAAGGCTGCACTTCATATATGAAGGTAAAAAGGGACTTCAGGGTACATGTGTAACACCTGTCACAACTCCTGGAACCAAACTCATCTTCTCCTGGCATTGCTGTGCAGCTGCTTGGTCCTGGGAAAAGATGTAACCATTTCATGGGCTTTCAGATAGGTGCAAAAGTCCTGTTAACTAGTTGATTGGACTTTACAAATCACACTCACAGTTTTTCCCCATGTATGCACGCACACTCCATACATAAAAGAAAGGAAAATATGCCTTTTCAAAAAACATACAAAATCATTATGATGATCATGCTCACAAACTATTTAGCATAACTGAGAAAGCTGTTGTCTCCAACTAACCTGACAATTCGTAAAGTCAAAATATTGTTTACATTTAAATGGGGGCTGAGGGGAACCTAATTAGAAAGCTTTTAGAATTACATTTTGCCAGTCAGTTTTAGCTTATTGTAAGAACACCTTAATTATCATGTGAAGATGCCTAAAAACCAAAGCGATAATAATAATTTGATTGCTATCAATGTTAATTACACCCAAATTATAGTCCTGAGTTGTGAGAAGGAAGATTCTCTGTATCTCCTTTTGGTAGTTCACTGATATATTCCTCATACAGTCTATGGTTATGCATAATTAAGATTCACTTAAACAGGAAAATTAATAACACTACGATCATTATTATCTAGTAATCCCACTCACCTTTTCAAAGCAATTCAATACAAACTTGAAAGGAAGATGGGTATGGGTATACAGTATTTCTAGTTCCATGTTACAAACATGGAATGAACATTTTAAGGTTTTCCTTGCTTTTTCCCCCCTCCTAAACTTGGGAAAATTGACATTAGGGATTTTTCTGAGTGAATAAGGGAATGGATAACAGAAAGAATAAAGTTTTTTCTTGGTTAATGTATTGGATTACATGCAGGAAGAATTAGATTCAAGTCCAGTTTGAACCATCAAGGCTGACTACGTAACACTACTAATAATTGTGTAATATTAATAAGCAAATTTACTTGGAACAGCTTGCATCCTGAGACAATACCTTTACATCATCAACATCTGCCTATCCCAGGGTCTTTGGGACGAATTCGGTAGTGTCAGGCTTGAATAAAATGCCAAATCCACTCTGAACATCTGGCTGACTATGCGACCAACATAACAGCAATAATAGTGCTTTTTTTTTTTTTGTTTTACTAAACTTCAAAACAATTTTAGCATGTTTTAGCTTACTCAAAATAAACATGTAGCATTATAAGATTCAGAGGGCTGATTTAATCTGAAAGCCTTACAGTGGTTGTATGGTGCCTTGCTATTTTTTGTCAGGACACATGTTTGACATAAAACTTAAATAAGTAGGCAATTGTACTGCTAACTTCTTTTAAGACACCTATCCATACTTTCATCTAATGTTACAGTACTAAAAACAGATATGAAGGGACCTGCTGTTTGGATACAAGTTTATGGAAGTTTGCTTGAAGGTCTCCTTGGTGCTATGCACAACACTCCCGGAATGTACTATGACTTGCCAAATGCTTCACAATGCTTCTGTTGTCTTGCCTGGTCAAATGTATGGTAAAGTATGACACGGGGCCTTTATGCTGCTGAGTCCCAGGATAAGGCTATATAAGTAAACTTTGGATTTATTTAAGCGGACTGGAATACATTAACTTGTATATTATTATACATTATGCTCTTTTTTACATTAATTAATACAACATTAAAAATAGGATGTGTATCTATGTTAAGTATCTGAATTCCTAAAAACCCATTTGGCTCCACGGAAAACCCAAAAACGTTGGAACAGCTTCACAGACTTCCTTGCATAAGCCAGCAGGCTAGCTCCCTCTATTACTAATTCTCAGAAAACATTTGTTTGCACATAAAAAGTCTAGAGAATATGAGAAAATGCCTACTGATTCTGTCGGCCAAAATGGGCAGATAAGATAAAATAATTTATCTCTAAGAGACTAAAACCTTGACACTGCTCAGAACTTAATCCCCTTTTAATGAGTTTGAAATGCAAGCAATAATATTCTAATGAATAAAATGCAGTAATTTTCTAACAACACCGTCAGATACTGCCCAAAAAACCCCACATGTGGTTCAGAAAAGCTTTGTCAGCTTGTATTCTATTGCTACAGGCAGATAATTGTTTGTAAAAGTTTTAAGATCGTATGGCACTATCAGGTTTGGCCTATTGTTTCTATTCAAACAGGGGCTGTATGTTTTTGAAGCACTTTAAAGCCCTAAAATTGCTGTGGTAAGGTGCCAGACTAAAGAGGATTTTTTAAAAAAAGCTATTTTCTTTTGCCTTTAAAGATGTATATGACTTGTTTTTATTGTTCTGTAGAGCCCTTGTTGTTCTCCGAGCTTGATTGTTTGCTTGCACACATTTCATTACCCCAGTAGATAACATCATTATGAAAGCACCAAGGACTACATAGTTAAACTGAATTACAAATATTCTCTTCTACTTTACAGTTTTATCAAATGTTTCCTTACTGTATTTAAAACAGTTGCAGAAGTTATACCATTATCCATTAAGTAACACACCCTGACCACTGTATTAACTGAGAGACACAATGTAAACAGTGTACTATAACAGCGTACTACCATTATTACCAGTGGTGCAATAGTAATAGCAATAGAACAACAATAATTGTTGTTCTATAAAAGGCATTGCCAATGTCAGTTGGAGTCACGTGGATTTGCAAGCAAACCATTATGTAAACCCATTGAGAAAAATCCACTCAACAGACAATCTACAAGTAAAGACTCAGATATCAATAATGGTATGCTTAATGATGGAGATTATAACTGCACCATAGATTCCAACTACAAAAGAGTTGGAGCTGTATCTGTCGGTGCAGAAACCCTGCTGTGAATTAGTTGAACTCACATGAATGAATAAGATTGTGTGTAAGAATACAGAAAGCAGCAATGTTGGATCATTTGTGTTGCAAATTCTCAGTGCAAACACTGCAGACAAAGTTATCCAACTAAGCAATACAACAGCAAGCATTGAATTAACAACCCCGGAGGTTCTTTTATCATTATAAAGTATTTACAAAGAGGCATTTATATGTTTTGTTCCTCTGGGGAGCTGGCACTTTGCATCAAAAATACATGAACCAGCAATTAAATTTTTGAGCACCTTATGGCCTTTTAATAATGCAAATATCGTGGAAACCAGATTACACTGCAGGTAGACAAAAGAATAAGGCATTCTGGGAAAAGAATTCACTTATAGTGTGAGGGAAAGGATGATGAAAAGGGCATTGTTACATTTTAATCTGTATTTTTTTTTGTCTTACTCATCTCCATCTTTTGTTATAAAAGATATTAATGGACATTTGTAAGTAATCAAAAGTAAAGTCCACAAGTAAATATTAAAGCAATAATGATAATGATAACAACAACAACAGCAACAACAACAGCACCATCAAACATCCAACAAACATGGAACTGCCTATATACTCAGACACTACCTTAACAGCTCTTAGGTCCTTTGTTGGGACTTGAACTGTTAAGTCTTTACCAGTCCCAGACTGTGAATCGAACCAAAGATTAAATCTTAAGTAATAACAGCAGCAATGGCAAGAAAAGGAGAAGGAAGGAGAAACCATGATAATATCAAAAATGAAAATTACTTTAAGGGCATCTTGGGTGTCATCCAGACAGTAGACACGGATGTTGTATTCCAAGGATGAGCAGATCAGTGGCCCAAATATGGCCAGCTTCAGACGTTTTGTGGCTGCTTTGGTGACTGACTGCCCTACTAAGGCATAGGTGCTAAGAGTTTCTGTGAGGATATGGCATGCCTCTGGATCCAACTGGATATAACATGGAGTAGTGAAGTTTTCTTCTCCAACTGCTACTACATCCTGAAAAGATCAAAGACAATAGAATAAGAACAATTTAATGGCTTGGGCCTTGGACAATGTTGACAACACTGCTTCTGTGCATACCATTTATGGAGTAAAATTGTTTTCCCAGTTATAATACCATGGAGACATGTAAAATATTTGGAGAAATCTAAGAAAAACTGATACCAAGCAAAGTGTTTCAGGAACTAGAATTCAAATAAATCAGGGATATACAGTAGCTTTCAAAATACTTGCTCACTTATTTACTGTATATTTGACTATTATTTATATAAAATGTTTTCCTAATATTTCAAGTATGGGTGGCCCCAACTTATTTTGATTTTCACAAGCAAATTAAATTACTGTATGTTTCAAGCAGTTAACATTTTTCCATGCAAGGATTCAAATCCAAAGCTGCTGGTTTTTTTTGTGTGTGTGTTTAATGAGGCTATAAGAAGAGAGACATGAACCACACCTTGGCTACAAGACAGTCCATATAACATGGGAATCCTGGATCATCCTGATAAAAAAAAATTGAAGAGAACGAAAGAAGAAGGCTCTTGTTTTATTAATGAAAGAAAATGCCTCCTGGGATTTTTAATTAATTATCCCATCTGTATTATTTTTTATAAATAACTCAAGATGGTGAACATATCTAATAGTCTTTCCTCCTCTTTTCCTCACAACAGCCATCTTGTGAAGTGAGTCAAGTTGAGAGAGAGTGACTGGCCCAAAGTTACTCAACTGGCTTTCATACTTAAGTTAGGAATGTCAAGAGTGCCACTGAAAGCACTGTGAATGATTATGAGCAAATAAATCTATTTATTCCAGTAATTATAGTCATTGGATCATTGCATTTTATTACCACAAGATGCACATGATCCAAAGATGCAATATTATGTGGAGAAAAAAATAGGAGCTTGGATCACTTTCCCACAATTTTTAAGCCATATTCCAATTAGATTAACCCATCAGACTCAAGAGATGCAAAAGCACTTGAGTCAGTGATTTTGGAAGCCACCAGTTAATCTGAGGGACTGAAAAGGGGGAATTGACAACTTGTAACATGGATACAGAGTTCTAATGTTAAATCCTCTCATCCTCACAATGACTCAGGTTATTTAGACAAGCACTTGGTATATATTGGAGACAGACATGGTAAAGAACAGGCAAGTGGAGAAGATTGAAGTGGGATCTAACTTTGCTAGGATCGTGTAGGAGAAAAGAAATGGAGGGAAGAGTTAAATGCATTATCAGTTTAGAGTCTTTGTGTTGCCACAAGAGATCCAAGTCCACCCCACCCCCCAAATTCTGTTGACCTTTATTTAATGCCAATTTATTGTTGATTTCTAACATATTGCTGACCTCTCTGATGATGACACTACAGATCAAGGAGATGAAAACTGTATCATGATCACTAATGCTTTAGGAATGTCTAGACCCAGCCAGATCAATCACAAAAGAGGCACTCTCTTTTCCATAACTGAAAACAAAATATCCCTATGTCAAAAGAAGACAACATTGGCAACAGCAAAATGCACTTATGAAAATGTGCTTTCATTGCCCAAACCCTACAGTTAGCTAGGAGACTGAGGTAGCCAGAAAGCATCAAAAACAGTCCATTTGAAAATATCTTCATATTCCTGATTGTCTTCTATAGAAGAGGAGTATAAAAGAGGACAAACAGAAGGAACAAATATCTAGTTAAACTAAGGAGAAAATATACAAAAGAAAGAAAGGAATAAGATATGGTGTCAGAAGCTTGTTCAAGATTGCATGCTCACATGTGCAACAAGAGATTGTACCAAAATAATGAGTACAGATAACCCAATTCCGACTACAGCAGCAAAAGTTTTCTGGGGTTTGATGTTGGTTAACCTGAAAATAAAATGTGGATCCTTATTTTTATATATTTAATTTGTGATATTTGTGATATTCTTTCATAGCAAAGTGTTCTGAATGGTTTACAAGAATATTCAATAATGAAATCAAAGGTGTAGAAAATAATGAAACATCATGTACAGGATAAAAGTTAATAGCATGGGAAAACATCAAAGGGAAAATGTGACATGAATCTTAATTTGATCAAAAGGAAGAAAAAATAAACAGAAAAGAGTCTACTAAACATTTCCCTGGACAGGATGACAGTACTATGAAATCTCTAAATGTAATTTCCATACATCTTACTTTAGATAGTAAAAATATTGCACAAGATCATTGCGCAATACAAATGGAAAAAATGACCACCATTTCTTAACTGGGGCCAGAAACTGATAATCAATGCAAGCAGGAAGCATTAGATACTGTCAAATCCCTATAAATATATATACAAGAAGCAAGAAATAAAGAACCTATCATAAAAATATACCTGACAAGATTAGATCACTTGTCAAGATATCACTCAGTCAACAAATTTTCAGTTTACAGTATGTATGTTGAGTGTGTATGCATTCATACTTTAGTTTATTTCCTGTTTTCTATATGTACAGTGCTCAAGATAGCTAATATTTAAAAATAACATGGAAATACAAGATAAAACAGCAAATCCACATATAGTAATATCATTCATATTCAAAGGGGTATCTAGAAAGTTCTTATGTGAAGTTAAGCAAAGAATGGCTGTTCTAGTGATAATTTAGGTTCTCAATTTTGTAAATTTAGGTTTTTGAGAGTGAATAAAACAAGTCGTTTATTTTACAAGTCCATTGCTTTATATTCTGAACATTAATGGAAAATTCCACATAGCAAATATTTCAATATAAAATCAGCATATTAAAGCCTAGAGGTGATTTTAGAACTGAAGTATCTGTTTTATTCAGTTGCTATTGCTATACAACTAGCAAACAATTCAAATTATTATGTCAAGTACATTTTACAAAAAGTAATTTTACAAAAAAAGGTTAGAATTTCAACAGAATTGCAACACCTATGTTTTCTCAAAGATGACAGCGAAACAATGCTGACTACTTTAGTGAAGGTACAGATTTATTAGCAGATGCCTGCTACAAAGCAACATATTACCCTTTCCTACAAAAATGTGTTTGGACATATTTCCAACCACTTAGCACCACTGAGTAGATAAAGTAGCTCACTCTCTACCAGAGTTATTAATACTATACCACTGGAATGAAGAAGTTTTTCTTTAAAAAAAATCCCATCATATCTTATCTTTTTTTCCCCAGTGACTTTCAACTATAAAGGTAATGTTAGATTATAAAAAAGATAAAAAAATTTCAAGTAACCATAAATTATAGCAGTTAGATTAAGATGGAAATGTATGAATTAGATATGCCTCTTTTACATCTGTATATTGATAGATAAAGTCTAAAGAAGAACTGTTTTAATACTTGGTTGAATATGATTATTGTGTTTTGTTTAATCAGGTTTTATATCTTGGACTATACGAAATTTTCAAGTTCATAAAAGGCTGTAGAATTCATATGAATATAATTACATTTCTTTTCAGTCTTTCCACATCAAGATGGGAGAATCAAACATATATGTAGTATAACTAGCTACATCCCATTTCTCCTTCATGCTTTTAAGAATGTATGAATTACAGAAAAAAGCTTAAATTGATCCCAGGTGTTCCAGAAAAAAGAAAAGAAATATTCTAAGCTCTACCATCTTCTGATGAACATTTAGAGCTTTTTAAAAAGTCTTTTTATCTATCCAAAATCTGCTTAATACTGATGGTGTTAATTCTTATTTGATATTGGCACAAATCAGATTTTTTTCCCTAACATACCAAACAATTTCAGTATCAGGAATAACACAATATACTATCTACTATTACTCAGAACTTATAGCTCTTCCCTTAATTTACAACTCAGAACACTCCATGGAAATTGCAGTCCCAACACCAAGTTGGGAAATGTGAATGAAATGATAAAAAAAATGGCAATGATACATACAGCTCATGAAAAATATATATTTAATGGCTATTCAATCAGACAATGTGAGCCATGCAGGTGAAGGGCAATCACCTCACCTCCCATTGTCCCTGGGCTGCTTGGTTCTTCAACTGAATTTTCCAGTCTTCGGTGTTTGGTTCTGCACAGTGGTGCATCGTTAAAATGATAGGCCGAGTTAGTAATGCTCCTGGAGGCCCACAACTCACTACAGGGGTCAAAAGGGTTTGACAATCTTCTATTGGTGGCCTGAATGGATTATAAAGGAAGAAGGAAAAAAAATATCATCTGGTATCATTGTTAAATACCTGTTATTATTTATCCATGAATTGATATCACAGTGAAGCTTGGCATTATTTATTATTTAAATTATAATATAATAACTATTTATGCCTAAAATTACTGCAAAAGAATAAGGAAGGAAAGCAGAGGGAATATAACTCTCAAACAATGGCAGGCAGTATCTACAGTATGATAAATATTGGGAAAACATCAAATGAAAAGTAAGCTACTGCCAGTCTGAATATGTTCTATAGTAGATTTGCAATAGAACTTCCACTGTATTTTATTTATTTATTCTTGAAAATGACATTGCTTCCACCACATAGACACTAGGATTCGTGTAACATCTTGTTCATTGAAGATCTCATCAAGTCATCATAACTTTTTTAGTTATTTTTTTCCTTTCTTTAACACATTCACTCTTTCTTATATGTTAATTTTCAATTTGACCGTTATTTTTTGTCTCTATAGATGGCCAAACTTCTCAAATTATTACTGGTCACCAACTCTGTATCAAATCTAGAATTATTATTAGTCATTTACAAACCACCTATTATCTTTCCAATAGTATTTGTCCATCTTAGAAGGTCTTCTTTTATTTTCCCATACTTAGTAAACATTTTACAAGCAATATCAATACATCCACTTGCTCTAATTTCTCCCCATTTCTATAATGTGTACACACTCACACACATGTAACTATAAAATCATTCCATTTTCTATCAGACACAACTATGCTTGTTCTTTCACACATTAATTTTCAGATTCACACTCCTTGCTACAACTTAGTATCTATCTGACATTCATTGGAAATCATTCAGATTGTCAACCAACAAAACAGTAAAAGCTGCATGCAAAAGTACATGTACATTTACATCTGCAACCAACACACCTCTAATGACACCAGTACAATTGCTTATACATTGAACCATAAATATATCATAAAGCAAGGAGACATGACACATCCTTGTCTAACTCCTTCTTTGTGCTGAACCATTTCTTAAGCATTTTCATTCTTAGCTAGACTTTGCATTTAGCAGCCAAAATTTTAAACTCATATTCATGCAAAAAATTCCATACTCTGGGCCTTATCATTTTATCATACACATAATACCTTCTTTCATCAACTTTCTATTCATTCTTCTAGATTAATCTGCCTAACAATACAGATTTATATTTTTGCTTCCTAAAACACTTTATGCAGATTCCTACAAATTCTTCATACAAAAATTCACCCTAGCAATAATACAAATATTTTCCTAATTGAAACCCTCAGTTTGAGCCAGAAACAGTATTATGAAGCTTTCACTAATTATAAAACTCAATCTAATGCTCATCCTCATGCTAACGTTATGCAGAGGCATACTGCTTGATTACTCAGCTAATCGCTCATGCTGCCAGTAGGAGTAGCTAACCAAAATAGGAAATCTGCTTGCAGTTTGTTTAGCATTATATGTAACCTGTGATGCCTTGTTTGCCACTCTACACAAGCCAGAAATAAGAAGCCAGGGGTGATGGGAGGAGGGGCAGAATCAAAGTAGAATTCAGCTTCTTAGAGAATAATCCAAAATCACTAATTTGAATGTAGGTCTTGGTAGGAGGAGTCAAGTAGAAACAATTAGTTAATATTGAGCTGAGAAATTTCTGCTAATGCAGGTCTTTGTGGCAGTCTTCTGTATTGCACTCTATAAAGGCATATTTTGATTGACGGAATGACTGATTGATCTGTATGCTGCAGAACCCATAAAAAGTCACTGTGGCATAGGAATGACAACTGGAGCTACAGTGCCGCTCAGATTTATTTTATAGTCTTATTCAGATATATTTATAACTCTTCCCTCCTTTCCCCCAGCTAACACTACTCAAATGATGTTAACTGCTGAAAAGACTTGTGTATTCGATACAAATACACACAAGAGAAAAACTACATAGACTTTTTCATTAAGAAAAACTCTGACCATGCGGTGTTCTGGCTCATGTGGTAGCCAATGTATGTACTGAGATACCCCCAACAGTTTTACTCTTGCAGACAGTTCTGCTCTACAAATGCCTGTATCATTCAAACAACATTGCCTGAGGATTCTTGGGAATTTCATATGGTAAATATTTCAAATACTGAATGGGGCTCACGAATCTGACTGAGATCTGTCTCTCTGTCTCTGTCTGTCTGTTTGTCTATCTGTCTGTCTGTCTGTCTGTCTGTCTGTCTGTCTCTCAGTGGCACTGTAGTTCTAGTGTGTGTGGGTGAGAGAGAGAGAGAGAGAGAGAGAGAAGGGAAATGAACTTAATTCATAAACATATTTAGTCGTAATGAGCCATTATATATTGTTGTTTCTGTATAGAGAATTATCTATTACCAGACACAAAACACAGTAGAACTAAGTAAGCCATTTAAATATTGCAATGCTGTTGATACATTAGTCATATTTTGCAACAGAGATTTAAGAAGGGTCAAAACAGTAGATTGTCTGAGAAGAAAAATGTAAAATATCTTCTGTTATTCTAGGCTAGTTCTTGTTTGCAGGTTAAAATCTAGGATTATGTTACAAATGCAGTTAGTATCAGGAAATGTCACAAGTGGATCTTCATTGTAATTGAAAAGTGTATTAAAATATTCATAAACCTTTATTATTGTCTCTTTCCAATATTTTTAATGACCCCGATTTCCATAGACTAATGACTTAGGTTATTCATACCACCAAGTTTCTGGTGGTGTTTCATTAGAATGCAATGCAATGAAAATAGTTTAAGAAATAACAGCTGTGAACTCCAGCAATGACATTTTTTCTTTTGAGGAGCATAAACCAAAATAAATTTTTAATGGGCAGGGAACAGTTTATAGTGATCTGCTGATGGTTCCTCAGAAATATGTGGTGAATGTCATGTACAACTTAAGATGACATTCACTTATGTACTACAATTACCCATGTCACATCTCTTAAAACTTGGTATGAATCTTTTTTTTCCTATGTATTTATCCTAGAGGGCATCATTACTATATTAAGCATTCATCTAGAAAATCAAACTCGGTAAACAGTTATTAGAACTTCACCCAAGGAACCTGGTGTCTGTAGTTACGATTTCTGAGAATGTCATTAATGATTCTGTCTAATCTAAATTACAATATTGGGTTCTCCTCAGGGGAAGCCATGCTGGCAATTAGTAAGCTTGCATAAGTTTATAGTATATATAATTGTGAGTGACATACAGATTTCATTATTTCAACTGTGTCCTCTTTGTTATTGGGCCAATTATTTAGTTTGCTGGAATAAAATACTATACTTTGATTAACACAGAATTTAAAGGAAAAAAAATAATATAGTGAAAGAATTGAGATGAATAACCACAGGAGCAGATAGTTATCCTTCCAGACATGTTGGATATTTTACAAATTTAAAACTTTTTGGTATTTCACTGAAGTTTTACTTCATGTATATGTTTATATAAATGTATTGTCTTCTCCAAATTGGCATTATCAAAAAATGTTTTGGGCAGCCTTTGCCAATCCTATATTTGCACTTCTTTCTTTTGCCCAGAAATGCCATATGCTAGATTCAGTACTTTTTTATTTTTATTATTTTTTCTTATAACAAATATTCTTCTGAGAGAACAATGCCAGATTATGTAGGTGGCAAAAAAATGCATCAGTATTCAATCATAGCAAAATCAATGTCACATAAGAACTAAAAAAAGAAATGTGAAGATATTATAATAGAAACTGTTGTTATGTGTCTTGATAATTAGAGAAAAACTTTGTTTATCTGATATTAGTCATCTACTTGACACTTCCATAAATTGACACTCAACAAAATTTTGGCCAAGAAAATGCATATATATTGTTATTATTGTCCATAACACAAGAAAAGCTTTCTGGATCCATCTAATCTATTGCCAAAAATGCATTCAGAAAACACATAAACATAAACTTATTTCTGATATTCTTTCAGAAAAATTATTATACCTATAATACGAGATAGGATGAGTTAGCAGAAAAGTCATACTGAACTTGCAAAATTATCCTCGTCTCAAAACTATTTTTTGAAAACGGCAAAACAGGATTATGTAGTGTCAGGGAAAAACATGTACATTGCACAAAAAAATGTAAATACATTTTACAATCCAGTCCTGAAGATTTAGCATAATGAGCCATTACATGTTGTTTCCACATTGACACATGTTCTTTATCAGACTGTGCATTGTCAAACTCTGAACCATCAATGTTTTTTGAGAGTGTTATCCCTTGTCTTTCCCTAAGTCTCCTTTTTAAAAAATTCCCCAACCTAGCTAATGCCCCTAAGTTTATATGTCATTGCCTTCTACTAAGGAAATAGAATTCGTCATTAAGAGTAATAGCCTAATTTCCCATGAATCTGTGTAGTTCCTTTTAAAACCTTCTAAATTCATTATCATCACACCATATGGCAGTAAATTCCATATTTAACTATATTTTTGTTGTTTATATTTATATTACTACATTTATATGACCTCCCATCTTGCATAAGTGACCCATTTAAAACATCAGTACAATACAGTAACTCAAAATGAAAAAGAAAAATGAACAACACTAAACAAGAACAAGACAAAAAAAGAACAAAACAAAAACCTATGTGTTATAACACCACTTTTTATTTTTAATTTCTGAATAAACTGAAAAAAAAAATTAAGACAAAGAACCTGTTCTGTTATTCCTGAATTATTCTGCACTTAGTTTCCCAAATACCTCTTAACTACTCAAGCTGTGCAATTAACTGTCTAGAATCACACTGTGAGTGAGAGCGGTGTTGCCTAAATTTGACAAATAATAATAATAAAAAAAAAACAGAGTGAAAGATTTCATCACTTGCTCCTGCTCATACCATAGAGAAGAGACCTTATTTCCTCAGCAAGCCTTTTCAGTTTGTTCGCAAACCATTTTATGGCCTCAGCATCTTTTTAGGTTAGTCCAGGGGTAGTCCAAGCAGATATGCTGATCATAAGGTTACATTAGCACAAGCTGTCTCCTCCCTTCAACTAGCACTCAAGCAAATGCGAGCAGCAGAATCTCTTTTACCTCATGTTCTCCTTTCGGTGAACCGTCACATACATTTCATAAACTCTCCCCTGAGGAATCGCCCCCGCAGGAATCAGCAAACTTACTCCTATAGAACAAGATGACAAAAAAAAAGTTGAAGAAAATAAACGAGAAGGGGGAGACAGTCTGACCTTTTGAATAATAAGCTTTTTGGAGATTGACAGAATTTTACCCAGACTCTTGAAAATGAAATAGGATTTTTACAGCCATCTTAATAGATGTGTTTTTCTGACTTGTTGTGTTTGCCTTCTGCATTCTAGGAGTCTGAAACTTCTTTTGTTTTATTTAAGAAACGAGCAGATGGTTGCACTGCTGTTTAGATGGTAAAAATGAGGGGGGGGAAAGCCAAGAGTTGCATTTACTATTCCAAACAGTAGTAATGGGATCATTGTTCTTGGCAATTCTTATTTAATGAAACTTGGGGAAAAAAGGGCAACAAAACATTGCTCATGAAACAACAGGAGTCTCTTTCATGTTCCTGAGGATATCAGCTTTATCTGGTCATTATTCACTATTTAGATGAACTAATGTACATCTGGCTACAGAATGGGGAATATTCGCTACATTTTTGTATTGCCAGCTGCTTGGGATATTTATTGGATTACAATTTATAATACAGCCCATAAAAGTATGCTGTCAAAATGCAATTAAATTGTAATCATTTAAGATTCAGCAGCTGCAAAATTAAATGTATTGTTAAAATCTCTCTAGGTCCACAATCCCTACCCAGATCCTCTCCTCTCAGAGGAAGCCTTTAGGCAGGGGTGATAGGGATGTTAAAAGTCCCAAAAGTGCTTTTCAAAAGGCCACTGGATTTTGTTTTTCCTTGAAGATGTTTTGCTTCTCATCCAACAAGCTGTTTCAGTTCTTTCAGTTTTTGGAACTGAAGAAGCTTCTTGGGTGAGAGGCGAAACATCTTCAAGGAAAAACAAAGTGCAGTTGCCTTTTGAAAAAGCAGCTTTGGGACAACCATGACTTGGATGACCGAGAATAGACATTTAGGGATACTAAAGTTTCCACTGATGAACATTCTTAATGGTTCAGGAAGCAATCACATTTCTATTGATAATCTTCCATTTCAGATATTATAAAAGGTAAGAAGAGTGTCTGTATTATGAGAAGAGAATGTTGCATTATCCCCTTGTGCCTTATGAAAATGTTTGCAAGCTTCAAGACAGAGAGATAAACAGGCAGAGAGTTTGCTAGTGCTAATTAGATGCTGTCCTCATGACCATCCAGATTCTGATGTCAACAAACTTCCTCAACATCACCCCTGGCCTGTTGGTCTTGCCCTGCTATGTTTTGTATATACAGACTATTGTATGGTCTCAGCAGCTAAATAAGCAAATTAATTAACAGTGATTACAACACAACTGAATATTCCCCACCTTCTCATTCTAAAACCTCTCCTGTATGGGAAGTTCCCCAGTGCTTCCCAAAGTCTGGCAACAACTTCAGTCCAACTTCAATCCAACTAAGAGCTGTGGTGACACAGCGGTCAGAATGGAGTATTGCAGGCTAACTCTACTCACATTGCCAGGAGTTCGATTCCTTCGATCCTGACCTGCTCAAAATTGACTCAGCATTCCATCCTTCTGAGGTCAGTAAAATGAGGACCCAGATTGTTGGGGTCAATATGCTGACTCTGTAAACCGCTTAGAGAGTGCTATAAAGCACTGTGAAGTGGTATATAAGTCTAAGTGCAATTGCTACATTGTTCTGTGTCATATCATCTCTTCTTATGAGACAGAACTTACACATAAATAAGTTGATTGGAATACCCGCAAATGGTCATTATAATTATGGAAGACATAATGGATTTTCTTCTTTGTTATTTTTTTTTTCTATTTGACCACCAAAGAGCTCATTTTTCTTTAAAATATAAATAAATAAATTCTGAGATTGCAAATGCAGAGAGAAAGGACTATTGTATTGTAAACATCTGCCTTCTTACTGAGCTGGAGGAAACAAACTGAGATTTGGAACTGATTTCTTTTTTATAATTAGTTTGTTCTTTTTATGTCAAGTGACAACAGAACCCTTTTTGCCTTGAACTTCAAAGTTTTCTCCCTCTTCACTTCTTTAATTGTGATACATGAAAGAAAAAAAGCCAAGGGCTGAGCATCCTACTTCAAATAGGTTGACAGTAAAAGGTCTCTGTCTGATCGCAATGACTCAAGAGTTTTGCATTTTTCTCCTTCAGAAGACCAAAGTTACTGAGAAGAATATGTATAATAGCCAAATAAAATCAAATGAGAGAAAAATATTTCTCTGATTTAAATGTAGGATACTGCTTTCTATAATGACCCAAACCTTTGCTAGAGGAAGGAAAAATATCTCCAATAACTTTGGAAATACCTGAGAAATGTTCTTTAAAAGCAAATGACTGTAAATAATAATTTACCTGAATTCGGTACAATCAGATGACCTCCAAGAGAATTGAAGGTCCCAAAAGCAGTGCACGATGGATCTGTTTGCCGTGCAAGGCTCTGGTTTTTAATGTTTAATGCTTCATTATCCAGTAGGGATTGAGTAATCTGTGGAGAGAGTTTGGATGAAAAATCGGACAGCTCATCCTGGGGTGTGACTGCACCAGAATTATTGTAAACTTTGATCTTCAAGTTGGGCAGTGGATCCAGAATTGGAGAGTTGGTCATTGGAATTTTATCAGAGACGTCATGCAAGGCATAAACTGGGCCCCTATACATAGCTGCTGCAGAAGTAAGATCAGGAGGTACAGCTAGGAGATCTGTTTTAAAGAAGAAGAAAAATGTAATATTAAAATCAAGAAGCCATGGCCTTAAAAACAGCATTCCCAACAGGCTTTCTCTGGATTTGATATGAATAAAACCCTCAGAGGGTTCCATATTCAACCTGGGCAACTTTGAACATATTTTGTTAAAAAAAATAATATGCTCATAAACCACAGATAAAAAGTAATTTATATTAGTCATGAAAGGCTTCACTAATTCATGGACTGAGTGTAGGGTTGGGCTGTATAACTTGAAATCTGAAAACATTTGAAAATATTAACCTGCTGCATGCAGCTAAAATTATGTGTGGAAATTTGTGCAGTCATACTAAGGCATTTCACATATGAAGATTCACATTTACAGGTAAGAATCTGATGTTTTTCCAGATGATTTCTGTGCATCATGCTTATGGGTAAAGAACATGGTTAAGATAGGATGGAAGAAGCACGGCTGTAACAGAAGCAGCTTAAATATTTGAACTCCCTCTAATCAATAATTTCTCATAGATGAAGTACATCAACTTGCAGTTCTAGAGATGTCCCAACATATAACTTTTCCAGAAAGATTCCAAAAGTTTTGGCAGACTGACTTCTGATTTGCACAGGAGTTTAGACCAACAAAGTGATCAACAAAATTGACAGAAATGTTGGAAAGAGTTAAGAAAGCTACGCCAGTGTCAGCATGGCAGAAAACAGATCTAGGACATTGTAAAGGCTTAAGATCTAGCTAATGAAAAGAAATCCCCAGGAGACTAATAGAGTTGGGAAAGGATGTGAAAAGTACTATATCACAAGTCTTTGAAAAACAGAAAATACTTTGTAGAAGATTAATCAAGCTGGAGGACAACCTTGTCAACCTTATACCTTACAATATAGGAAGCATCCTCTTATAGTGCACAAATCTTACTAATTTGACAAACACAAATTATCACCTACATCAGACATGTCAAACTTGCAACGTCACATGATGTCACGCAACGTATCGGGGCTGTTTTGCCATTGCCGGCAATGGGATGGGCGTGGCTTCTGCATGACGCGTCCGGCCCATGGCCGGGCAGTTTGACACCCCTGACCTACATGGCAGAATACTTGGTGGCTTTAAGTTTGAGTATGCTTATATCTGCTGGCTAAAAATTACTACTACTGCTACATGTATTTTAGAAGTGGGGTTTTCCTGAGAATGGATTCTAGAAGATTTCAAAAACTTGGGAAGCAAACTGTGATTAGAAAGGTTTTCCAACTAATGCAATCTATATGACAGCAACCTAAGTGCAGTGAAGTTCAGGATTAAGTGCTCTCTTTTTTCTTTATATAAAGGACAAATGTTAGGTGTGTAGAAGTAGGTAGAACTGAAGTTCTATGATATAAAGGTTCCTTTCTTCAGAAGTTCATAAAGCTGAAATCTGATGGGGCCCACAATGTATCCTTCCAGTCAGTCTATTGTGTTTATGTGCTTTAGATGCTATCTGAAGTGTTCTTGTAAGGTAGACTGCACTGATTTCCTGCTAAATAAAGGACTTAGTAACTGAGTATGGCAAAATGAAGAAAAGCTGCTGCCTCAAAACCATACAAACCAATTCTGGAGTGAAGGAACCCAGAAGAGAAGAAAATATAAAAGGGCATCTTATAGGCTATAGATCGGTAAACATTTAATCATGCAATGGTCCAAATCCCAGGTTGACCATTCAAAGTATTCTGACCTTGAAAATAATGTTTCAAGATTGAAAAAAGCTCCAGACCTTATGGAATGTCTCATTTTGAGGCTCAAGTACCTCGTTTACAGATAAGATTTTCCAAGACAAAAATAATAATTTTTTGAAGGAGAGCAGAAGGATGTCAGGAAAAAGATTCTAGGTTATCTTCCTCCCCAAAATGTGTTTTTGTAGGCTATAAATTATTGAAAAGCATATGGCTATCATGTCGCCTCCATTGTTTTGAAGATTTTAATCATATTGGTTTCCTCCTATTGAAATGCACAACGAGCAGATTTGTTTTTGCATCTTGCATCTTCTAAAAGTTTCATTGGATGGACATGGGATGGACTTTCTCCACACAGAAGAAGGAAATGAGAAGTGGCAGCAGTGAAAATAGAATAAATTAGAAGAATTGGAAGAAGTGAGAAAATTAAAAAAAATCTTTCTTCGTATTGTATTCTGTGGGAAATTCTGAAGAATTTGAATCAAAATTCAAAAAAATCACAATGTTTTGGATGTTTTGTAATTTTCTTATCCATTTGGCATTTCTTATTGTTCACGTACTGTATTTATTTTTCTTCTTCTTCTACAGCATAGAAAAATGTAATCCTTGCATGGCTGAACTCTATGAGTCCCGTTGATTTTCATGGAAAATCTTCTTGAAAACAAATCCTGAAAAATGGGCAACCACAGGTGTCTGATATAGTTCTCTAGTAAATGAACTGATTAGAAATAAATCTATAGACCAAACTAATGGAAGTTATCTTGGCATGGCAAGGTTAAATAGAAAAGGAAAAGAAAGCTGGAAGGGCCTGTATTTCACCTCCCAAATTATTTTTCTTTGAATCCTATATAGGATATATAATTGATGAAGAGTCCCTGATCAAAGAACTTACAATTTAGATTGGATAAGATGAAAGGAAAAGTAATGAGGTTTTTTTTTAAAAAAAAAGGAGGATGAAGAAGAAGGCCAAGTGACATTAGCCCTTATAGATTAAGTTTTCTAGATGAATTTATCTTCGGGGCATTTAGTTGGAGAAATCTGCTTTATGGCATAACTCTAAATTTTGTTAATAGTGACTGGAAACGAACAGACAAACCTTGTCTTGTAGCTTTTGTTTAAATTTTGTTAATAGTGACTGGAAACAAACCTTGTCTTGCAGCTTTTATATTTACGGGCTGGAATCCACCATTTAGTGCTGATGAATCTATAATATCTGACTCAAAGTCTCGATGGTTCTTCCGGTAGATGAATAATGCAACAGTTACTGAAATAGCCAAGCACACAATCACAGCTATCACAATGCCAACGTAGAGAGCGACATCATCCGAATCAGGAGCAGCTAGGAGGAAAAAAAAAAAATTGGAACACAAAGGTAGAACATATTAATTGTCCCACATATTTCTATCAGCTCCTGTAGGTGTTTATTATAGTTGTGCAAGTTAATTTGAAATCAAATGCTCTGCCACATGGTTTTGTAAGGAGGAAAAAATATTCAAAGCTTTAGTCATAACTGTTTGTAACTAGACTGTCGAGGCAAATTTAATCAAGAGAGCCATTTAGCACTCTTTTCAGTGCTAATTCATTCAGCAGGGCACCTGTTAATAAAAGACGCTATTTTTCCTTTTGGCATACTGAAGCTTTATTTTTAAAAGTAACCAAATCTTAAAAAAAATAAATGGGAAATGGTGACATGTCTGATAGACAATCTGCCTACTTCTTAAAGGAAAATGCTTTGAGGGCAGAGCTCCATAATATGGAGACATAGAAGTAATTGTATGTTGGTACTTTTCAAATGTGCATGTGTATTTTATTTATTTGAGTCTCTGTGGATCAGTGTATGCATCTGTATGTATGTATCAATTGGGGTGGCTGCATATACTTTGCCTAAAGCAGTGGTTCTCAATCTTTTTAATGCCGCGACCCCCAACCGGTCGTAAGTCGAGGACTAAACTGGTCGTAAGTCGAGGACTAAACCGGTCGTAAGTCGAGGACTAAACCGATTGTAAGTCGAGGACTACCCAACCGGTCATAAGTCGAGGACTTTCCCTGCCCGGGAGCGCCGCGCATGCGTGGTTCCGCCCCCTGCACTGGCCGAGGCGTAGCTGGCAAGCGGCAGAGACGGAGCAGGCCGACCACCAGCTGGCCCAGCTCAAGGGAGGTAAGGCACCCGCTGGAAAAAGGGGAAAAAATGGCAGACAGCCTTGCTTGGCGACCCCCGTGAAATGGTCGATCGACCCCAAATGGAGTCGCGACCCATAGGTTGAGAACCGCTGGCCTAAAGAAATTTTAAATATCTATATATTGTTGACATGCACCCCAGACAAGCTGTGGGGAATCTATTTTTTAAGTCCCAAATATGCAACTTTGCTCTAAGACTATAGGTGACTATTGAAACATTTGAAATGTGAAGGAAAATATCATACTGTCAGAAAATTCAAAACATGTTTCTAATACAGTACTGATTTCTTTTCTAAAAAAAAAAATCATATTTTCTATTTTTTTCTGATTTATAGTAAGCTTCAGATTTGAGAACATCACTGTTTTATGCACGCTGACAGAATGCAAGGAGTCTGCAATCTGTCAGAGCCTAAGGCAGCTGTCCAAATCAGATTTGTTCCTCCTGTTTCAAACATGGTCTGACATGAAAATCCAAACAGCCTCTGCTTTAGACAACTTTCAAGAACAAAACAACAATTAAGAGCAACAGAACAAGCTGATACCTCAACATGCCTTGGATAGCTTGCTGGAATGTATTGAGATGAAGGATGAAATTAGAGCCAAAGCCATCTAACTCAATAATATTTAAGGCCCTGTATTTTTGCCGTATGAATATTTTTCATGTATAATCAGCCTCCTTCCCTAGAGCCTATTCTTCCAAATGAGTGACCAGTGACCGGTGATGTGTTCTTTGATTGCCTTGAAGCACTGTCACCATCTAAATGTCTTTAAAGTGAAGTTTAAATTTAAAGCATCAGGCACAATTCTTCTTTCTACCAGTCTTTTAAAATACAATTGACTTCCAATTTGTTTGTTACCGAGTGTGTGTGTGTGTCTGTACTCTTTGATGAACTCTTACTGTTCTGTTGTTTTTATTTTACAATTATGATTTTATGAAGTTGCTGTCGGTTGGAGTTATTTTAGTTTGATTGTGAGCTCCCGTTCAAATTTTATGTTTGGTTTGATTTAATTTGGCTTTTATTGAAAGACCTGGTAGAACTTCAACAAGCATATAATTATTCATTAATTCATTAGGTGGATATTGTGTCTTTTCTCCCAGAGCTCAAGACAATGTCTATGGAATACCCCTTCATTTTATCCAACAAACTCCTATATCTAGGTTTGGGCTGAAAGCAAGTGACCGTCTCAAAGTCCCCAATTTTTCATGAATAAGGCTGGATTAAATCTGTCTCATCTTATAGTCCAGCATCTTAACTACTACACCACATTGACTTTATTGTATATATAGCACTTATATACAGTGCTATAAGATAGGCCAGTATGATGATGTCCACAACACTGGTGAGGTGAAGCTGAACGTAATCAACATCCACCTACTGTGTTCATAGTTTATTGTACATTTATTCTAAATATCTCAATATTTATCCTTCAAATTTTCCAGTTTATTGAGTTTCACAATGCAGATGAGCAAACTGTAAAAACAATAATAGCAAGGTAGAATTTTCTATGGTTCTATTGTGGGAATCGGACCAGCTTTGGTGATCTTTTCACTTATATGTTTGTAACATATCTTCTTCACTTATCCCACTGTAATATTACCTGCCAACCCATTGCTTCCCTCAAGAAATCTTTCCAAAAAACATGCCTATGGGACATAAATATGATGCACTTTTTCATGAACAGAAAATATTTTACTTATTTTTAAATAGACCAATATTACAATATTTAAATATACTGATATGCTTAAATAGTAAGCCTTTGGATTCCTTATTCGCATATAGGCAATACCTTCTTAAAAGAAAAGATCATGTTCTAAAAATGCTTGGTTTTGGTTTTCTTTAACTCCTAAAGGTGAACACCAATAGATTATCAAGAGACATCAGGTTCAATGTATTCTGCTTAATGGAACTCAAAAAATGCATTTGAAAATGCTACTATTTTATTCTATTTTTCAGAAATGGCTTTCATGGAAAAAAGTGGAAGGAAAGTCATCAAGGGAACCATTTCCCCTCTTTAATCAAATTAAAATGTTGCAATTGTCCAATGCTTTGCTGGAATCTTGGTTTCTTTGATTTTTGTTTTAACCTTCCTTTCTCAAATTTGTTCCCAAGTTTAAGACTCACTCTTAAACAAGCAAAACATAACTCTGAAGAAGTTGAACTTCTCTTCCCCAATGTATGTACAACCTGATGGAAAGTAACTCTTGGATCAGCTAATCAGAATCCAAGCACATGTTATCAAGCAACACTTACAAGAAAATCCATATTCATTCTGGGTTCTCTGTTCAGTTGAAATAGGGTAAATGAAACCTTTAAAAGAAAAAAAAAGATGGGAATAAAATCAAATTAACACAGGGAGCTTTTAAACACATACATTCACACATACCCACAATCACACACAAATGTTTTAATTTAAAAATAAAACAAAAGGAATGGAAAAGGAAAAGGGAAGGAAAGGAAAAGGAAACTCATGGCATTTCAAAATTCAGATTCAGCACACTATTTATAACTTTGCATCTCCTGTCTGCTCAATAGTCTTACTAAGAATTAATAAGTAGACAGATTGAATTTCAGAGCCAAAAACTGGTCTCGAGTCACTAACTTTGGAGTGCTTAAAGTCTTTCTTTTATTGAGCATAAACTCTAATGGATCTAATTTATTTCAGACATCAAGGATCATTAGCATATGGAAAGTCTTCTTCCTCCCAATTCCTGCCATATGCTTTAATTCCCAGGATATATTCAGCAGGGCTCTAAATAATTTTTTTATTTAATTATAGAAGCTAGCTGCTGGCCTAATAGAACTGAAAGAGGCTTGCCTTCAATGGTCAAAGGTTAAATATCCATTTGCCAAGTGTTCAACCCATGGAAAAGCATCATTCCCTCCACTCTTCCTTTTCCCCTAGATTTCAGGGGAATGGTTTTTAACCTTCCCTCTAATAGAAATCCAATTCTGTTCTCCGGGGAGCAAGCAATTTGCCAGAGAGTTGGAAAAGGCATGTGTTCCATTTGAGATCATTAGAAAATCAATAGGAACCTTGACATCATAAAGTAATTTATTTTAGATTTTTTGAAGCTTTGTGTAATATTGACAAAACTATAACACAATTTTTTTTCCTACAAGAAACAAATAGAAAGAAAAGTGACTTTCCCCTGATTTTTAGTGATAATGCAATTCTCAAGCAATCTATTTTTTTTTCTTCGAGCAATTTGCTCTGAAGCTGTGTAGTAAAGAGGAAAAAAAGCTGTTGTTTTTTTTGGTCTATGCCAATGGAGAAACATTTAGCTGGAACCAAATTCCCACTGTGATGAGTGGAAATTGTACTTCTAAATAAGCATGTTCAGAATCAAGGAAACAGCTGGGAGGAAGTTGGCTTACTTACTTAAAAAAAAAAGGAACCAAAATCCAAAGAAACCTGAAATGATGGAATTTTTTTTCATTTAAAATATTGGATTCCAGGCCCATCTCTCAGCAATTAAATTTTGAAGACATTTTAAAATACCACGAGAATGAGTTTGAAAAACAGAAGCCACTTTGATAAGCCATAACACAAATTTCAATATAATATTACTTAGTATTTGATGATTAAAAAAGGTTTTTCCATCAATGTAGGCTACACTGCTATAGAGAAATGGCAATCAGTTTATCCACCTTGTTACAGAATCCTTACACCATGGATCAAAGTATGAAAATCAACAACTTTCACAATTTTCATGCTTTAGCATGATTTTCAGTAAGGAAAGCACAATTTATAATGTTTTTACTTTCATGTTTTCACTTTCTTTTGACCAAGTAATGCAAGACCATTTTTGCAGTTATCCTTCACAAATTAGGAACATGATACACATTAAGCAAGGGAATTCCGCTGCATATGTAACTGCTGATGCTCAAAAATTGCTGTACAAGTAGCATTTGGAAACACAGGATATGCTTCTCCAATCTACCAACCTACACAGATATTTTTATATTTGTGGCTGCTTGCTCATAGATTTCAACATAAAACAATGACACATATTACGGTACCTTACATTAATAACAATAAGTTTCAAGAGAGGTATAAGCTTCTTTTTAAACCCCCCTTAAAAAAAAGAAAAAAAGAAAGAAAAGAAAGTGGGAAAACCTATGAATTGCTGAAATTGAATCAGCCTAGTTTTGAAAATACTGTACATAATTCTGAGAATTTGCATGGTCATGATCCATAATAAAAAAAATTGATTTTAGCTGAAAGCATTCGGAAATATCCAGTGCCTATTCTAATATACTCCCATTATGAAATGCTCCTAAGTATATATTTTCCCAATTTTGTTTCTTATGCCACTGTTATTGACATTGGCATGTGTTGTCACAAAGTTTCTCAAAAAGTCATTCTTTTTTTTCTCTTTTTTGCAGCTCAGCTGAGAAGTGCTATTTTGCTCAAGAGTATGGAGTTGCCAGGGACAAACACAGTCAGCCCATCTCTCATTCCAAGAATTGCTAAACTAATATTACATTGCTATGTTGGCTTTACAAAACGTCTGCTTCAATTCTGAGGTGCTATGATTTGCTTTGTTAGTACTTCCAGATAAGTCATTCTTCCCATATTCCAAACGTCAACTGCCTGAATAAAGACAACAAATAAATCCACACTGGGAAGTCCCAAGCCATGCACAAATTCAAGTTATAGCTATAGGTAGTCCTGGATTTATCACTGTAATTGAGCCCAGAATTATGGTCATAAAGAGTTCATCATGTAACTGACCTGATTTTACAATTTTTTTTGTGGTGGTCATTAAGCAAACAAAAGGCTTGTTAAGTGAAGCCATTGTCCACAATGCACAATTTTTGCTGAAAGTAAATGTTGGTTTCTGACTAAAAAATGTCATTAATCGCAATCACACAAATCACTGCAAACAGTCATAAATGCAGAGCAGTTGTGAAATGCCCAAAATATGATCATAGGATGGCCATTGGACCTTTGAATCTGGGTCATACATTTTTGGGGGGCGGTACATCACAACTAAGCCATGGATCATAAGTTAAGGACTAAATGTAGTTATTAAATGGGATGTGTAAAGTTTTTCTTTTAACCATTTTTTGTATGATCTTCTGAGATTTCAAAATGGCTCCTGTGTACAGAGGCAGAGAGCAAGCATTTTGTACAGAAATCAACCCTAGTTCTAATATAGTTGTATGGATGCTGTAGTTCGCGTTGTCTTCGTCACATTGTTTTGTCTCAGTCAACAACTAAAGGTCTTCACTACAAGGGCCAGGCAACTCTATATAAGGGCTTACTTCTTCAGGGTTCCCAGATCTAAACTGTAAAATGTTAGAAAATTTTTGCACCTCTTTGTTGCCATCTAGTGATATTTTAGATTTTGCAGTTCAAATCTGACAGCCCTAATCTTCTTAGATTGTTGTTATCAAAATGTAGCTCAGTGTTGGATTTATATTTCTTTTCCCAGTGTTATTGCAGATGTGTTCAGCAAGGGATATTTTTACTATTACTTTGGCAAGAATGAACAAAATGAAACCTTGGTCTAGATATTATTTAGTATCCAAAAAGCTGCTATATTTACATGGTTTCCTCCATGTGTGGCCATGAAAAGTTGGCAGATGTAACTTATGAGGAACCGGCTTAACTCTGACCTTTGGCTTTAAATTTATATCAGCAGATCTAATTGCCTATTGGTGTTATAGACAGGAGTTCCCAATCTTGGCAACTTTAAGATGAATGGACTTCAACTCCCAGAATCTCCCAGCCAGCCATGCAAGCAGAGGAATTCTGGGAGTTGAAATTCACATGTCTTAAAGTTGCCTCAACATATTATTATTTTTATCTGGGATTGTTACTTTGGGAAATTTATTATTAAGATAACTGACTTCATAACTTGAAATGGCTATTTGTGATAAGTGAAATATGCAAGCATATTTGGGTTTTCCATTCCCGTTTTAAATTGCCAACAGTGATAAAGGAGCTGCTTCTTCAACTTTGTTTCACATGAAGAGCAACATACACACAGCTTTTCCCCACTCTTTCACATTGGCTTCTATTTCTCGCACGCAGAACCCTTTCATTCATAAGAAGATTGTTTTCTGACAACTGGAATAACTGAGTAGTGCATTCAAAGAAAACCATGCCAAATAAATGGAGAGAACTATGTAGGGAATGATTCTAGCAATGCTTTTAATTGTACTGCTCTCGTCCTCTAAAGCAGGGCTTTTCAACTACACTTGGCTATCAGGGCTGCGTACCACCTGCCACTCGTTAATGTACCACAAGTGGTACGCGTACCACCGGGCGAAAAGCCCTGCTCTAAAGCAGGTATCCCCAATCCCCAGTCTGTGGACCAGCACCGGTATGCAGCATGCCAGAAACTGGGCCATGCAACAAACGAGGCCCATCTGCAGGATGCAGGCAGCCTGTGAAACCATGCCCTTTCTGGTCTGTGGAAAACCCTCTCTCCATGGAACCGATCCCTGGTGCCCAAAAGGTTGGGGGCCACGGCTCTAAAGCATTGATGCAATGAACATGAATTTGGGCAAACTCTAGGAGACAGGGGAGGACAGGGGCGTCTGGAGTGCCATGGTCCATAGGGTCATGAAGAGTCGGACATGACTTAGCGACTGAACAACATCCTCTAAAGGGTTTTTGGATGAACTGGAGAACACAATTAGGTTAGAACAAAGAGCACATGTGAAGAATCTTACTTTGTATCATATTTTTATTGCCTGCAGCTTCCTTATCTGCCAAACAGCCAACAGCAGGCGGGAGGATCACAGTTTTGGCAACTGCCAAAATATTTCACCATTGATTGAAACATACTCAAGGTTACTTGAGGAAACATCTCAATTTTTCTGAGCTGTTAAGCAAATTTGGAATTTTGAGATCAAGTTTTTGAACTTGTATAAAATGGAAGAAGTAGCCAATCAGAGATTGGAGAAGAAGAATTTATGGGCTGTCTTAATCTTTAAGATGCTCTGGGGTTCCTGGTGCTCTCTGAGGTTGGTTGTTTTATTTCTGATGTTTCATTATCTAATTTGGTAACATCATCAGTGCTAGTAGGAGACGGGGTTTGCGCTCATTTTATATTCTAGTGACTTGCCCTGTCAGGGCTTGGTGGGAGTGGTCTTGGTGGTTCCTCGATTGAGCTGTTGTTTACTGTTAGCTTGTTTGGCAGTTCCTTGATTGTTTCCTTTCAATTGTTGGTTTGTTAATCTTGGTGTTAAACTTTGCTTATCTGGGTGTTGATTGCTGATGAGAAGATGTTTTGATTTTTTTTTATTCTTGGCTTTTTGAATGTCTCTTTTGAATGGTATGTAGATGGTATTTA